GCACATTTGTACACATACACACACACACAAATTTCCCAGCAGCCACAGACCTTCATGAGGAAGAAGAGCAGCAGGATGAGGAAGACACTGACATCAGGGTGCAGCCAGGCGGCAGAGCGGCCCAGACCGACTGGAAAAGGAGATCCCGAAATCTTTGTCCACGTAAAGTTGTCAAACAGAGAGTTGATGCACTCCCTGGGCATCAGCTGGAGGAGGAGGGAGGAGAGGGGTGGAAAGGAAGGAAAAGCAGAGGGAAGGAGGGATGAGGGCAGGTAGTATGCAGTAGGTAGTATGGAGGGAGGGTTAGGGTGTGAGTTGGGAGGAAGGTGAAGGAAAGAGTGGAAGAGATTGAAGAGGGATGGACAGAGAAGACACAAGGAAGGGGGAAGAGAAAAAAATTATGGTGAGAGTTTAGAAGAGAAATAAAGAGGGAAGAAGTAAAGAGGAGAAAGATGAGGATGTGTAAAGGAAACTGGAGACAAAAAAGGGGGAGAAGGGAAGGAGAAAGACGGATGGGGAGAGAAAGTTTAAGGGTTAAAGAAGGTGAAAAAGGAGTGAGTGGGTAAGAGAGAGATCGAGTGGAAGGAAGACAAGAAGGGTGAAAGTGAGGGATGTGAGAGGAAGTGTAGGGTAATAAAGAGTGGGGAGAAGAAGCCAAACAGAGGAGGATATAAAGAAAGAGGGAAGGAGAACAAGACAGTTAGGTAATAGGAAATAGAAAATATGATAGGAAGAAAAGAGACAAGGAGGAAAAGAAAAAGGAAAGAAAAGGAGAGAGAGTAAAGACATTAAAAGAACAGGGAAATAAAAGGGTGGAAGAAAGTCAAGTGGGATAAACAGGCAGGAAGTCATCCAGAAAGCTGGAAGCAGACGGGTACGGGTGGCCGTGTCCAATGACTCATTCTCTTTAGATGACTCATGAATGACTAATTCACTTCAACCATTTTGCTCCACATTTGCATAGATGCCTCTGAATTTGCTCACAGGCACAAAACGCAGCGCCTGCTGCATCTGCATAACGCCGCTACGGGAGAAAAGCAACACCAACGTCATTTCGAATTTTCTACTTTTTTACTCGGGTAAAGCTCGGGTTGAATCGAGGCCCTGAAATTCATCGCTCAGTGTGAGAGTGGAAACGTTGAGAATCCGCTCCGTTAAAAGCTGCTGTTGGCCTCGACAGGGCTGGATGTAATAAAAGGCTTTCCTGTGCCTGCTTGAAGTTGTGGGTTCACGTCTGGTTCACAACCCATGTAGAATTTAATCTCCTCTCGCTGTGCTGCTTCTTCTGTCACTCAGCACTGTGCTATCAACTTGGACTTGAAGGATTCTATTCCCCAAAAGCTATATGAACACTTTTTAGGGAGGAAAAGTATCCGTCAAATACAGATTTATTTTCTAAAGTAAAATGATTTAAATTTAGATATCACTTTACCCCCCCTGTTGTGGTAGAACGATACTGTGAGTTTGTTATAAAGGTGTGAGACATTTCTGCAATTAGGGTGTGAAAGACATGCACGTAGGGCATAAAAGAAAAAAACAACAACAAAAAAAAAGACATGTTAAGGTGTTGCTGACTGACATATGCACACAGATTCACAGCATTCACTTACAATAACATATAACACACGCCTGGTTCACAATACGCGGTCTATTCTGAGCATCAGTGAGACACATGATTAGCACCGGGTTCTGGGTGGGGGAGCTGTCACCTTAAAACTCCTTTTGTACATGTGTTCTGCTATAAGGCGTGTTGCTTCCATTCATGTAGAAACATGGGCACTGACATCACAGTGAGGCCACAGATGCACATTAATAGTACACTGAAGGTTTTTCAGAATATTCAAGTATAGATTTTTGTTTGGTTCATGCGTATGCAGCTCATATCCTAGAATCCCAATTATTGAAAACATGACTGTCCCACTTTATCTAACCTGCTGCCCCACAAACATACAAGATAATGTAGCTTTGGGATCTGTACATGTGAACAACATAAATTCCTTTTATACTTCTTACACATTTAAGTGAATTTATTCAGAATACCACTGCATTCATCAAAGTTTGTTGCTGTTTGTCCCTCAAAGGCGCATGAGGCAAATGTTTACGTTGGTGGCTCCCTGTGGCATCGAGAGGTCACAGTTTGAAAAATTCTGGACTTCAATACCCCAAAATCCTGTGATGTAGTATCCGTAAAGGGAACACAGCGGGCTTATATTTATCAAGTCTGCTGGTCTATGATGATGCTTTATACCAAAGGAATCCAAAGGGACACGAGATCCAAGAGTTTGTTGGTTAGTGCTCAAACTCTGCTCTTTGGATTTGCTTTCTGGTTAGGACACATCATGGCCTGTAGATGGATATTAAACACCACAACTTTTTTCTCTGTTGTTTTGAAGCAGGTGTGCTTTTACATTAGTATCTGTGTGTAGTGATGTTTTAAAACATGTAAATTAGTCACCACTGTTTGCTTTTGTGGGGTGACATTTACTGCTGGTTTTTGATGATCAGCTCTCTGTAGCTGTCAGCATTGCATGCTGGTACAAACAGATTTACATGCCCTGTATTCTCCTTTGTTTACATAAGAGACAGGAAGATATGAACTCTGACCTCTCCTGCCATGAACTGTCCAAACCCGGGTGGGAAGGTCAAGGTGGCGATGACCAGTGTTACCACGGCAGGAAAGATCAGCCGGCTAGAAGGGAAAACAGAAACAAGTTTTATTAATGAAATAAACAGTAATTATTGCTAATCTAATCCAAATCCTTAACAAAACACAGAAAGCACAACAAACAAGGATAAAAACATAATAAATAGATATACAGATGCATACGTCCTACGCTGTATATGTAAATAAGCATTTAAGTGATGATAATGAATGAAGACAGCTGGAATCAGATCAGATATGAAGATGGACGACATGACAGTTCCCTGAAGGTGAAGCCAAAACATCTTTGCCGTATTGGTCATAAACCCCGCCCCCTACCTGTTAGCAGATTGGACATGGGCCAAACTAAAAAATCTAAGTACATGTCAATAATTTTTTCCAAAAGATAATTTGTGTCATTTTAGGTAGTTCTTATCACTGATGTATGTCCAAGGCTTACTTTTTTTAAATTCTGTTAAGTTTGGTTATAATTAGTTATTAAATGCTTTAAAAAGGGAGTTTCATGTCATGACCCCTGCCCATCTGAGCCCCGCCTGATCGCTACTGCGCAGACACTGGCTCCAAATGACATCACCAGCGCATGATGGCAGCAGTCATATACGGGATATTTTAGCTTCATTTTTGTACAGTAAGAGAAAATTGAGACATCTGAGCCGTCTTTATATACAGTCTATGATTCAAGCTAAATACTCAATTTTTATTTACCATAATTCTTATACTGTGTGTATATGCAATGAAAACTAACTGGTTATTTTGATTATTCAAGTATAAAGATTCTGTACCATCTCTAAGTTTTACAAATTGCAGCAAATATTAAAATATCAACAATAATGACACATAGAAACTCACTATTTGGTCAGAAAGCGGGTCATGGCGTTGGGTCGCCTCATAAACAGCACCACCTGTCTGTTGAGATAGACAAAGAATGCCCCCAGGAACCCACAGGAAATCCTGCACAAACAAACAAATGTCACAATCGTTTGTAACACCCTGTTAATCATAATGTGTTGACAAAATAAGGTTAGTACCACTAGAAACAACAAATATGAGAGAGAACTGGAAATATAATTTAATGTCATGTTTTATGTCTAGTAAAACTGCATCCTCTGAAAATAGATAAATCCTTGCATCATCTCATGAAGCTGGCCACCTGTGTTCTATGTCTCTCTTTCCTCCCCTGAGGTAAATGGTGAGCTAATAATTGGATTCTCCATGTTTCAAATGCTACATTTACATAAAATACGACTTATTAACGTGTTTCCATTTTATCCATTAGGAAGTTTGGAAACACACTGTGCACACACACAGAAATGCTTTCATATAAATCTTTTCAGTTTTCAAGTCGCTCACCCAATGATGGCAAATGCTGGCAGCTCCTGCAGGTCAAAAGGGAAATCCATGCGGAAGTTTGTCCTGAACAGAGCAGTGATGGTTACTAAAAGGTGAAGAAAAGGCACAGAGTGAGTTTTTAGTAATCTAAATACAGGATATGTACAGGTGATTCTTTTAGCATTTTAAAAATAGGATTTAGTCTTATAACAAACTTTACTTCACAGCAGCAGCTGTTTTTTGATAGGGCCAGTTAAAAAAGGCTAGGCTTGTCTAGAACTTAATTTAACATTTTTATTAAACACTCAGTAATCTGAGTCAGGCATTAAAATACCCTGCTGCTACATGGTGGCGGATGACACCCTCTAGTGGAAAATAATGCATGCTGTGCCTACATGATGCACCTCCAGAACATACATTAAAGTCAGTGTCACTAAAAAAACATATGACAGTTTGCCCAGAGATGGTTCCTGAAGTAAGGGCGCCCTCTAGTGCATCTTTGATAAAGAGAAAGTGATGAAATATTGTACAGTATCTCACACACAAATACAATATTTGTAATGATAAATAAAAGAAAAGACTTTTTCTTTAACCCACACCTGCGTCTTTGTTGAACACGGATAGCACTCTAAATATGAAGGCACTAAAAGTAGCAGCAAAGTATCCTCTCCAGTAGTTTCTCACAGCAAAGTATGTTGATGTTACCTCTATACTGAAGAGCACACCTGGTGGAGAAAGAAAAGAAAGTAATCAAGAGGCAGGAACTGAAAACAATGCACTAATCTACAGCTGAAGAAACGAACATGCAAACAACCCTACTATTTCCTGTGAAATAACATTTTTTTTATCAAAGATCTTGAACAGAGCTCAGAGTTTGACTGGTGAAATATACAAATATGTAATGCAGAGACATGGCTATCTTAAATGCATTCTGGGGGGACAGGAGTGAAAAAAAGAGCAGAACAGGAAGGGAAAAATGCTGTGTACCTCCAAGTGGGGTACCAAAGCAGCACCCCACTCCAACCGCACAGCCCACTGTCAGGATGTCTGTATAACAGTATGGATTCTACTGATCCAGAGAGGAGGAAGAGACAGGATTGACACAATAGAAAAACAACATATAGATAAGGAATATCTTACGCAGTACATCTTAACCATTCGTAAAAGTTGAATGTAAAGGAAAATGTTTCCTGACATCAGCTTACCTGATAAACTCCTGAAAAGAAGGACATGAACCTGCTGAGAACTGCAGCACAGATACTGGCAATGTGGACAAACGGGCCCTGAGTGGAGGAAGAAAGCAGGAATATTAAATTATGTTGTAATGCAGTACAGTACAACATCAACAGATACAACAGAACATTTCACTTCCTCTTTCAATGGGCAGACTAAATGAAAAAAAAGGGGTGTTGGTTAATTAATCTGTGTAAAATATGTATGGACCAGTTTTATCTGAGTTCACCCACCTCTTTGCCTACAGGCATCCCACTGCCCAGTGCAGCAGTCAGGCCAATGACTTTAGCAACAAAGGCCCTGAGAGTTAAGTATTCTTTTAGCACCACACCTCTCAGGATGGTCTTTAACTCTGGGATGCCAGAACCTGACATAGAAGGTAAAACAGAGGGTATTTAGGAAGGAAAATGGGACAAAGAGGTTCAAATTATAGAAAAATTAAAACATGTCTCATGTCCCACAGTAGTACAGCATGATTTAAGCATGATCAAAAAAAAATTGCTTACAGTATAAGTAATCACTTGATGTGATGTGAGATAACGGGAAAAACATTCTTTTGTATTCTTGTGAAGCTGCGATAGGTAATCATGCACCCTGATCAGCTGAGATCAATAAATGATTGTGTTAATTGGTTGGTTTATGGTTGGAGTGAAAACCTGCAGACTCTCAGCCCCCCTGTGACACAGGGATGCCAAACCAATTTGTAGAATTCAGAAGTAATCCCCTGACTTCCTGAGAGAGTTACCAAAGTCTTTGGTCTTCAAGTCTTTAATATCCCTCTTTAAGTTCCCCAGTCTTGCAAAAAATCCATGACAGGAATCCAAATATTTGGACTTTGGACTATCCCAAAGTCCCCAGACCAAATTTGAAATGTAAATTGCCTAATATGCAGTCGATAGTAGGGCTATGCTAAATAAAAATATATATCGTGTGACAATAGAAAACGTCTGTAGTTTCATATTATTCTCTATTGTTGATTTTGTTGTGTCACAAATCAAACTCTTTACGGCAATATTTTTTGTCATTTGGACGGCGCTTTGCATTCTTCTGCACAGCGTAAAGGCAGCACAAACAAACGTGGAGGAGAGTGAACGACGTGACACAGAACGGGCTAATTCTGAACAGGAGAAGGACTAGGCTAAGACAAAAATAGGAGCTCGTACCTAAAACAGGAGCTATGTCTATCGCATGGACGTGTTTTGGGTATAAATAGACCAGAAAACACCCCTAAACTTTACCTTTCACCACCTTCTCAAGAATAACGTCAGTACGTAAAAGTCTACAGATGACAGTCACAAAAGTAAATCACTCTTATACATCAATATTTTGTTACATGCTTAATTGAAAATTTGCTAATGGTTCAAAATAAAAGTAGAAAAAATAATTCTATATGTCAGTACCTTTTATTTGTCGAGTACATAATTCAAAATAAGAAATAAGCCTTTCCATGTGGTCGTGTACTATAAACTAGTCACTGAATCTACAGAACATAGAAATAGGAGATTGTTGCACATCACACAGCCTTAGTCGATAACTTAATTTACTTAAAGTAATACCTCTGAGACGATCTAACAGACACTAAAGGCAGATGAGCCCTGAGCAGCATGAGGACATAGGCATGAGGGGGAAAGGGGGTACAGACCGATAGCTTGTGGAGCGACCAGGTGACAGAAGAGGGAGGAGAAGAGGATGAAGATCAGGGGATATGAAACCCAGGCCAGGTACTGCAGGGGGATATTCCCCTTCAGCTCCCCATGAATCCATTTATAGGCTGAAGGAGCGAGGGAGGGAAGGGGAAAGAAAAAGACACAAGGTAGAAGAAACAAGGGAAACGGTAAAGCAAAAGAAGGAAGAAAACGAAGAAATGACTAGCAGGAAGTTCAGGAGAAAATAAGAAAAAGAAAAGTGTCAATAGACAAAAAAGGAGAAAGGAAGATAGAAGCATGAGACGGAGGGTAAAGGCTTCTGCAATGCACTGGGTTCTGTAGTCCTACCTTGCAGGCTCTTTGCGCTGGCATAGTCCATTGTCCAGCTGACCAGTGCCATTGTGATGCCCAGCAGAACAAGAAAGATCCAGTCTTCTCCCAGCCTAGTTACAAGGAATCGCTGGACCCGTGCTATACAGTCTGACAAAACCAAACACCACAAAAGCGCTTAAAAAAAATGTAAAAAAAGCATCTATTTACCTAATTTTTCATCTTTCCTCAGGATTACTAACCTCTACACTTGGAAAAGGAGCGTCTCTTGTTTGTAGAGGTAAGGTTGGGTTCATCCATTTGCTCATCAGCGGCCTCTGTCTCCATGTTGAACTGACGCCTGTTCCTTTGTCTGCTGTGATAGCCGTGCTGATGTCCGTGTCGACTGTGGAATCCGTTTTGACCATGGCCACGGCGGCCATGTCGAGGCCTCCCATGGCTGCGAGGATGGTTGCCATGTTTCTTGATCTGTCTCTCTGTCAGCAGGCGTGTGGCCTCCCGTCTGCCAGAGCCTCCCTGATGCTCTTGGTACTCCCCATAGAGCTGTCAGTCAATCAGTAAACCAATCCATTAACCAATTGGCACAGAAACCGAGAATGAATCATGTGAATGCATTCATTCATTTAGACATAAACATGTACAGGTAGTTCCTGAGTAAGTGAGAATGTGGAGTGTGATAGTACTCTTCTTTTGGCATCCTGGCAGAGTCCATTTTAAAAATAGACAGGACCACGTGTTGACCCAAACAGCTCTAATGGAAGCGGAAACATGGGCTCTGCCTCTAGATTTATCACCTCTGGACAGACTCCACGAAAAACTGCCTGGGACATCTGGGGAAGATATTAATTCACATCTCTCTCTCTCTCTCTCTCTCTCTCTCTCTCTTTCCCTTACTAGCACAAATATCTCTTTTAGTAGGACATGTGGAGAAGACCTCTTGCATTTGTTTCATCAAACACAAGATATCTTACACACTTCCAACAAAAGCCTCACAACATGTCACGTTTTCTTATAATAAAAGCATAGCATACAACCCCTTACATATTACAGTGTGCAGGTATGAAACTATGAGTATGAGTCAGGTGGATGAGTGTGGGAGAGATATTATACAGTCACTCTTACAACTGGTAACTGCTGTGCACGATTTGTTGGTGTAGTTTGGAAACACAAGGAATGAAACTAACATGTTTAATGTTGGGGGTGCCATTTTCTGCCCGTATTTATTGTATATATACATATACATACATATACATACACACACACACACACACACTAGCGAAAGTTGCTATTTGTTTTGTATTGTATTTATTAAATTAAATAATTTATAAAATAACACGGGATAGAGGTTATAACTGTTAAAAATGGATGGAATGTATTTATGGCAAAATGTTATGCAAATGATATTAAGTGCAAAGTCCTCTTGCCAACTACAGTAAAATGACTCTACTTTGTAGGGACACCAGAGGTCACCAAAGTCATAAAGGTTAAAATCTGACATTAAAAGGTGATACGTAAACTTCAAATTTCATGTTAATTAATTTTATTACCAGCATGAAATCACTACTTAGAATTCCACTACTCAGAATCACAATTAATCATAAAGCATTTATTGATCCACACTGCTGAAGCCACAAACATTCAATCAGGGCTCATATATATTCTTGGTACATCAACAAGCAGACAATAGAACTCCAGTAACACAACTGGCAAGCTGGTAAGTTGTGTCCGGTGCTGACACTTTGGATGTCCGAGCAGTAACCTTTCAACAGCTTCTAATTTAGCAGGTTCATGGAATGACAGATTGATGGATGGATGTATGGATTTAGAACACACACACATTATGTACACAAGGTGCTGGTGTGTGAGCAGAGATGCCATTCAATGAACAGTGAAACTTGAGCAGCATAATACACAATGTGCTGTAACTGAATGCCAACACACAACACAGACTCAAACAATAGAAGCCACAGATGTCTTGATTTAGAAGGCAATGCTCAAGTGTTTCATGTTGAATGTAACATACAGCATACACTGGCTGATCTAAGCAACAGTATACTTAGGTAAGGTTTTTTTTTAATAAATTGAGATTAGACCCTTCAAAAAAAGACCCTCCATGAATCATAGATATCCTGAAAGCTTGTGTCCCACAGAGAGCACACGCAAACACACTGGAAGGGGACAACTATCACCTTACAATACATAATACCAGACAGATACGTGATACACTGTCAACATCACACCTTGAGTAACCACACTGCAGTTCTTCTTTAGACTCAAGAAAATGTTTCATTCACAGAAAAATTACTTTCTTGGCAACCGTATAACAAACATACAGACAAGAAAGTATACATCATGCTGATACACAATTGTTTTTTATTGGAAGTTGAACTCTAGTTCAAACATGAGAACAAATCTATTTATCATAACTGACCTGTAATGATATGATCTTAAAGTCTGTGTGTGACAAAGTAATCTCAATTCAAAGATCCATTTACAAGCCAATCGCAACTTTACTGCAATTCATGGTCAAGAATGAACTTCCATGCTCACAATTCTTTGTGTGTAATTGCAATAGGCTATGCCTGTCACACATATACACCGATCAGCCATAACATTATGACATTATGACATTATTATGGGCGCCCTGGTGGTCATAATGTTATGCAGCCCCATATGCATCAAACTGTGATGCACTGTGATGCACTGACCCCTTTCTATCAGAACCAGCATTAACTGTTTATGCAGTTTGAGCTACAGTAGCTTGTCTGTTGGATCGAACCACACGGGCCAGCCTTTGCTCCCAACCTGCATTAATGAGCCTTGGCCGCCCATGACCCTGTCTCTGGTTCACAACTTTTCCTTCCTTGGAGCACTTTTGATAGTACTGACCCACTGCAAGACGCGGGAACACCCGACAAGAGCTGCAGGTTTGGAGATGCTCTGACCGTCTAGCCAACACAATGTGGCTCTTGTCAGAGTCACTGAAATCCTGATAAATCCACGCTGCCCATTTTTCCTGCTTCTAACACATCAACTTTGAGGACAAATTGTTCACTTGCTGCCTAATATATCCCCCCACTGACAGGGGCCATGATAACCAGATAGACAGTGTAATTCACTCCACCTGTCAGTGCTCATAATGTTATGGCTTACTTCAATGAAAACAACACCTGAACTGTTTGCTAAATTTGTTTCCACAAACCAAATAATAACTGTAGGAGTTAACTATCTAACTAGGCAACAGACTACATTAGCAAAGCAACATAAGACCAGGAGCAGTAGTACAAATGCTATCTACAGAAATACTAGCTAGTTGGAATCAGATATGTTTATAACAACAAAGATATTATTGTTAACTAGCCACTGTAATGGAAGTGGCGACATAATAACTTCTCCAAAAGCACATTAACTGAACATCTCTATCTGATTTGGTTGAGACACCCAGGTTGTATGTTTGGAAATACAATCAGCTGTCCACTACTGTGCAACCCAGGACAGGAGGGCCCCCAACATGGCCACCACAGAGCATGTTATGTTGTTAGAAATCCATCCTTCCCACACTGTCCCTCCATTACCTCTTTCCACCTCTCCTTCCTGTTTTTCCTCTTGACCAGTGAAACTCTACTCTGCACTAATCACTTGTACTCGTTTACCTCCTTCCTTTCGTTGCCCCTCTACTCTCCTTCCTTTCTTTCCCCCCTTCTCTCTCTCCCTCTGCCGTTGAAACACTACTCTGGGCTAAATTTAGTACCGATGTGATCCAATATTCCTCATTACACTTCCCACACCTCTCTCCCTCTCTCTCACCATCAGTGTACCTTTCAATGCCTCATCATATTCCTCCGTTTCTATGTCTCTCTGTCCTTCCAGTTGTCTTTTAGTGCCTCAAGGACTCATGGAGAGGAAATATAAATGGATAAAACTACTCCCAACAGAGTTTCCCCAATAGTCCAGCTGACTGTACCTGCCAATTTACAGTTAAAGCTGCTGATTTACATATATTATACCTAGTGGAGGATCCAGTTCACTGCAGGAAAGGATTCAGTACCTCACTCATGTAGTCCTCTGCAGTCTTGATGTTTATCATTTGACATTTTAAATGCTTGTGCCAATACAAACAAGGTTATGAATTAACGTAGAAGCATTTTTCAATACGTTGAGAAATATAACCATTTTTTTCTACAAAAACTGAAGCCTATAGTATATGTTCTGGTCATCACCGTATGCAAGTTATTTAATTAACTCAGAAAGGCTCGGTTATTTAAATAAAAAATAAAACCTGGAATACATTTTTACAAAGAAAATACTGCTTTTATTGGATGCTAATTCAGCCTGCATCAAATGCACTCTATACAGGAAGAGACAAGATAAAATACAGACAAAAACATAACTGCATCAGTAAACACATATATAAATCAAAGTGTGGGCCCACTGTATAGCATGCATATTATTATTATAAGCACCAACGATCGCACACACACACGTACAGATACATAGAGACACAGACTGTGACACATATTAGGTACCCATAATAAGGTTAGATTTGACTGCCACTCTTTTAATCACGCCATCTTGCCCTCTTCTTCTAAGATGCTTTAATGGCACCCAACATGACAATCAGTGCCACTAGCTGTTTATCTTGATGAACTACCTCCTAATTTACATAACGGCAGTGGATGGAAACGCATATTCATTTGTATTTTCTTTTTTCGCTGACCTGGCTACTGTTGTGATATCATAATGACAAACTGTCACTCAACTGTCACTCTGGTACCAGCTGGATCCGCTCTGATTCGAGCGACAGTTAGCGATATTTATTGACGTTGTAGTGATGGTGACATGGTGATGATGCTTTTTCCAAACTAGATCATACCACATTGTGAGAATGAAATCCACTGAACGTCATTTGTCACTCTGATGTCCACATACCTACAGTACGTACAGAACTATGTGTGTACAGCTGAATGTGAGTGCATGCTGTTATAAGCTGTCATTTGAAGTCGAACCTAATGCATATGAAGGTCTTCTAAAATAGAGAAGGGTTTAACTCCATACATTCTCTACATGGCTGCCGGCGCTCTGGCAACGTGCCCTGTGTTTGTATCACTCCGCCTACTGCAATACAGTGGATGGGGGGGTGATATTATCATTATTACTAGTAGTAGTAGTAGTAGGTGTTTTTACTTATTTATTGTGTTTTTTTTATGTTAAAGGCAAACTATGCAGCATTTGTCGGTTGCTGTTACTAAAGCAGTGAAGCAGAGAAATAAAACATTATTTACTGATTGTTACAGCAGTTACCTTCTAAAGCACCTTCACATAACCCTGCAGAAAGTGCTCATTGTTGGATTTTGGGCCAAAGCTGCTGTGTACCTAAGCCCCACCCACAGACACACAGACCGCAGCTCTTTATACATTCACAGTCTCACATGCACCTATCTCCACACTTTGTTTTAGTGTGGCACCAGCGCTGGAGAACAGAGGGGAGAGACAGAGACAGCAATCTGCTCGCTACGTTTTTCCAACCTCAGACCTCACACAACGCCCAAAGATTGATGCCACAAATAATCATGAACAGTGGAAAAAAATTACTATTAAAAATTACTATTACTATTAATTATTAATTAAAAGAAAAGAAAACACAGGGAGAGGGCAAGGTCTCTGCAGATACAGACACCCACACTTCTAGTGGGTCACTCATTAGTGTTGATTGAGAGGGATTGTTTGTATGAGTCTAGCCTATATATTGTGGGTTTTTTTACCCAGTATGCCTTAAAGTTACAGTGTCAGATTAAACCACACACCAACACGCAAACAGACAAGTGCAGAGAGATGAGTCACTCAAAATGACATAAAAAAAAAATTAAACAAAGTGTCACATGACACCCAGTGTAAACATAAGGGTTACCACAGCGCACATAGCCTTCAACAGTGCACTCACACACATACACAGGTTAGATGACTTTGCACTTCCTGGACTACCCTTAGGCATAAGGTTTCAACAACCACTAAATTCTATAGGTCACCATGATCACCAGCACACACATACCAGAAAATCAACACCACAGAGGCTGTGCTGTATGGACTAGTCTTCAAGGATTAGTGGAATACAACTTTATTTTAGAATAGTTCACAATAAATTGAGTGTTTCGGGGTTTAAACATTGTTTCTGTATTTCTAAAATTATCTTTGCTACATTGTGAAATTCTGAACTTTTCTTGAAGCTTTAAATATTAAAAAGATTTTGGTGGGATGCAAAAAGAAACACATGGCTACAACATGAGGCTTTAAAGTATGGCATAGGACAATATGAAACTCTCATGTCGTAATTATATTGGCCAAAATAATCTCAATACACAATATTATAACGATAATCATGAAAAAATATATTTATATACAAAACATACTGGAGTCCAGTATGTTTTATATATACCTTACCAAACATTTAGTTAAGAAACACGTTTACTTGCCCTGTATCTCCCTGTTCTTTATTTTGGAATATATACTATTTCCACACATCCAGTTTAACAAGGCGAGCCTTCAGCCATGGTGACAGGCTTTGAATTTTGGAATGACTGGACAGAAGCTGGCTCCCCCTTGTCCCCGTGTTCAAAGTAAATCAGGAAATCAATAAAAGACTTTATGCTGGAAAGCTAGTTAGTTTTTTCAAGTCAAGCCATGTGAGGATATTCATAAATTATCCCCATTCATGCTTATCATGATAATACCATAAATCAGAGTTTATATGGCGACAATATCATTGTCCAATTCCTAGTGCAAAGTAATCTGTGATTCTGATGTTAATGATTTTCTTTTGCCCCTTGGCTTTCCTCCGCCTGCAGTGTTTAAAGGGGGGTGGCTTGGTCGGTAACACACAGATGCAGTTAGGCTGTGGCTATTACTGTCAGTGAAAACATTTATTTATATAATTATAATCCTCTCTGGACATTGCCCCCACAGCGAACCTCTCGTTCCAGAGGAAACAGAGAGACTGTCCCCTACACATATCAACTGAGCTCCATTATTGTACATCTGTCCATGATATTTTAATTGTGTGAACAAATAAAGACTAAAGTAAAATATCCGTGACCCAATGATTTAGACTAAGGACTAACAAGACATAAAGATCAAATTTGTATTTATCTTGGATCTTGGAAGTAAAACATTTAGTTTCTGGCTGATCTGCAGCACACTCCTGTTTTGCACTTTCACTTGTTCCCTTCAATTTCTGTTTGTGGAAGCATAATCTGCCTTTAGCACCAGAGGAACCCGTTTAATGTAAACTCTGTACTCACAACAAGGAATTATTTCAGGGGTATGGTATCACAAGTGTTTCTGTTTTTCAGAACATCCCAAAGCCATGATGAAAAAAATCCCCCAAACGTCCTGAGACACCATTCACACTGCTTTTTCCAATAACATACATGTTACTACATGACTGGTGAAGATTAGCACTACTGCAAGTGCATGTTAACACAAAAGCACATGTGTAGAAATATGAATGCACAAATTCTGTAGATGGACACGGGTCTATATGCAAGGACACACACTTTCAGACTTACACACAAACATGCAAACACACAGTGTTACACATATCACAAAAGTCCTTCCTACATGTGTTAAGACCAACCACGGCTTAAGAAACGAGGCGCAGAAAGGGTAGCAAACAGGTGGCCGCTAGGGAAAGAAGAAAAGACAAGCAAGACAGCAACAAAGTGTGTATGTGCGTGTGTATATGAGCATGCCAAGATCAGGGGTGAAGGAGGTGCACAGTGTCTAAGCACCTGTTGCATGACCATGTGCGTGACCCTGTTGTTATACATCAGCTAATTGGTCTTCACCATGTCTCACTCACACACACACACACACACACACACACACACACACACATAGAATACGTGGCTCATTCACAGACACAATAAGTTAGACGGGCTCCATCCATGCACATGTAGCCTGCACCACCAATACAGGTGCGTCATGCAAGAATGACATGAGTGAAATAAACTGCTGACACACAACTAAAATAAACACGACAGAGACAGGCTGACAGATACACAGATGGACACAGACAGACAGAAGGAGCAACAGAGACAGAAGGAATAAGAAGAACAAGCGAGGGACACTGACCAGGGTTTGCTTGTATCTCAGAGCCTTCCTTTCCGACGCATCTGCGGCCATTGACACACTGTCACTGACCCAAAAATAAACCCACCCGCTCACCGTCTGTCTCAGCATTACCAGGGCCACACTGGACGCCCAGCCAGGACGCTCACTCTCACTCACACACACACACGCTACATTGCCACACAAGGATAGACATACACATGCATGGATCCCCATACACACACATACACACACTCACTCTCTCTCACACATA